GTCTGCTGATTCCGGCGGCAGTGCGGAAACCGACTCGATGTAATCGTAGGCCTCGAGGGACTTGTACGCCTGCACCGTGTCAACCGTGAACTGGCTTGGCGAAAAAACTAAATAAACGACGACCTGAGCCGTCGACTTCCATGGCAGCAACTTTACGTCGGAAGTCCAGCAGGTCTTTTACGGCGTAGGGATCCTCGTAGGCAACGCCGTCCACGCACAGTTTGTTTCGATACCGCTACCGTTCAGGCTCGGGCAACGAGCTCAAATAGTCGGGCATAGCGTACGACATACGTTATGAGGAAATACGGCGCACAAATAAAGGTACAAGCGTCCCTACAACGTCAACAACGAGCGCACGCCATAGAGCGCAATGGCGAAAACACGGACAGCCGGGCTGCTTTGCCCACATAGCTACCGCGCATGCGCGGCCTCCCGGCCGTGTTGGTAAACAGAGCCGCTCCGCGTGTCGGTCTATAGTGGATTTATCCGTTCAGGGAGAAATTCATGGTAAAAATTAAATTAGAAAGTATGAAACATGTTAATATTGGTTATTAGGAAAATCTTAGTTTCTCAAAAAATCAGATTCCCTACCGTTAACAACACAATGTCTTTCGAAAAATCTATGTTAAAAGAAATGCATAACAAGGGAAATTCCTTTGAAATGTATTTTTTTAATATTTCTTTGTAATATGACGACAAAGTAACGGCGATACTTTAGCGAAGTAACTATAAGTTACTCTTTAAATTTTGTAACTGTAACAAAGTTACTTTTTTCCCTGAGTAACTGTAACTGAAACACTGTTACATTTTAGCGGTAACGTGCCCGTGACTGCAACGCAGCGCTGAGGATACAAAATGTCACTACTCTCATCGCATATTCACTGCGAAGTTAGCGCCGCACTATGGTGGCTGGAAGGGGAAGTCTACCGCGCGGGAGCGAGAGGCTGCACTGAGTTGCGATGAACACGACTCGTCTGCGAACTGCAGCGCCCTTCCCGGTGGCGAAGATTTTCATCGCAACACACGCGCTGCCCTCAGCGCGCGTGTTCAAAGCTCACATAGCTTCTTTAGATTTTCACTCGGGTTTTGGCAACACTCGGGTTTTGGCAACGCACGTTTCACCCGTTAAATGGGTCGTGCGCCTAAATTCCGCGAAGACATTTTTGGTAACCCGGTGGCAGCTGTGCTAACGGAGTGCAAATGTTGCGGTGCAAATTTCGCGTCTGTGGACATGCCACGTATTTTGTTTGTTTTGTTTTTGCATATAAATGGTTAATTTTTTAGCAGTTTCTTAGTGCAAAATTTTGCCTGCACTTTTCAAAACGTAACGCGCAATAAGAAAACAAAAAGTGCAAGTTTTGTTATTTTCAAAGACGTGCCTCTACGTATTATAAGTTTCTAGACGTGTATTGCATCCAAGTCGCGTTCTTATTTTTTAATCGATACACGAAGGAGTCGTGTGACGCTGTACTTACGTTCCTTTCTTAGAACACCCACAATTTTCTTTTTTTTTTTTGGTCGTCTGCAAGTGTCTCAGCCTCTCCGCCTGCTTTCCTCCTCGCCTCGAGAAAACTCAAAGCATGCGCACTTGTGTTTGAGATGGACCGTCTCTACAACCTCTCGAATTTTTCATCGTCGCGTATCGTGCCCCTCCTTATCATTGCTCACATACGGCGTTCGACCCACTGCCCCTTCCAGCCACCATAGCTGTGTGTGTAAGGCAGTAATTAGGTCGGTCGAGAGCGCCGAGTTAGCGCCGCGGTGTTCGGGTGATCAGGCCATTCATGGTTCGAACTTGACGACCTGCTCCAGTTTGGTTTCTAGTACTATTAGAGTTAGACTTTGTTTCGACAATTGTTCTCTTTAATTATCCTTTTAGTTCTCCATGCGTAGTAAATCTGTAAAGTAGCTTTTCTTTTTTTGCTTGTTATATATTTTATGTGAACTTGTACCATAAGTTCTTCAAAATATGCTAAAATTCGGAGTTTTTTTTGTTTTTGTTTTTTTTAGGGGGTTGGAGGGGGGGGGGGGGGGGGGGGGGTTACCGATTTAAAGAAAACCGCCTTGGAGGTTAATTTTCGACATAAATTGTAGGGTCGGTTGGATATCGGGGGAGGGAAGGAGGGCGGGAGGGGGGAGATTGAAGAGCCTCCTCCCTGCTTACGCCACTGACTGACATGCCCCATATTTTCATCAAAGGCACCTAGTTGTTTTACGTGTGAACTTGAGAAAACGTGCAGAGCTCACGATGATGACGTTCAGCCAGTATTTTTCGACGTAGGTGCGATTGCGCTACGAGCAGAAAGTTTCGATATGCCGCCGATGAAGTTTTGACACGAAGGGCTGTCGTGTCGACAAAGCTTTCTTATGCGTCCCACAATTATTTCACGTCTCAAATTTACGATTTCGCGAAGTACTGGTAAACAACGCAAGGTTCGCGTGTGGTCGACGGCACAAGCCGATGCCCCGGCGGGGACGTCTTGACGAGCGTACACTCGCGGGCCGCCGCCGACCAATCGCCGTATGATCGGGTTCTCGGCACGACATGCTTGTCCGTACTCGGCAAGGGAGCCCCAGGGGTGCGCTCGAAGCGTGGAAACGGCGTGATGAAGCGAAAGGCAAGGAGCATCCACATCACGAACGGACAAAGCCGATGCAAAGGCGTGCTCGAACATAAACGACGTTAGCAAAGTGTCGTCCCTCGCCGCTACGAAACGCGTCCCGCAAACTCGGCAATGTGCGGCCCGCATCCCTTCCCTGCCACTCGCACCTTCTGTAACCAAGAGCATGGGGGTTGCCGGTGTTCGACGTCATTATGTGAAGTAGTTGCGAGGCATGTTTTGGACACGAATATCGTATGTTACCTCGGGGCTCGGGGTGAACAGGGATCTAATCACACGCTTCGCACATAAACGATGCCCAAACTTTGGCGGCCGGCAGTGTTACTCGACGAACTTCTGGAAAGGGTCTGTCGATTACCCTGCCCCTCTGCTTCCTCCTCCCTTTCCAGAAGTCGTGGTACGCCAGCTGTGTGTATATAAAACTTATATATCTAAGTGATCGACCATTTCAAGCGTTAATCCAGCCAGTTGCGACAGTTTTATTTCGTAGTACAATAAACGCACCCCGCCATCGGGTGTCTGCAAGCACGAAAAGCGACATCCTCACAAGGAAACTTCAGCCGAGTGTACTTTTGAAGATGCCAGGCGAACAGACGTCTACACGGATGCCCGGGAGCTGGACCGCTAAAACAGAGAAGAAATTATTTAGCAGCACACAAGCCCGGCTTATACTATAAAAAGAAATGAAATGGTCACGCAGAATATTTTTTTTTTCTGAATAAACTAATTTTCGCTTTAGCCATCGACCGCAATGGAGGGGGGTGGGGGGGGGGGGGGGGGGGGGGGAGGCGTATATTAGAAAAAAAGCGCAAACGTAGTAAACAAACAAATTTGCAGTGATATTTCTACGGACTATTTCACTCAATATGGGAACGACTCCAAAGCTACAAGCGTGATCGTGTTGCCGTGAAGGATATTCGAACTGCAAGAGCGAGCGTGCCTGGCAAGGACACTCAAAGCGCAGTACCCGGAACCTGTCTTCGACCTGCGTGTTTAGCGGCCTATCCCGCCCATAACGGGTTCCTCAGTGGCAGAAAATGACGTCGCAGAAGCTGGTGCGACAGCGTGTCGAACTCCTGGCGGTTGCTGCTAGAAGTTTCCGTGAACTTACAAGCTGGAGGGCGACCTACAGCAGGACAGGCGTCGGCCGCATCCACCTAGTCTGCTGTGACGCCGCCAGGATCGCGGACGACGACAGCATAAGATTTTTATGACGTAATAAAAAAACAAAAAAAAAAACTTTTTTTTTTTTTTTTTTTTTTTTTTTTTTTTTTGCGGTAAACACACTGGTTGGAGACGCTATAGAGGCGCCATACTCGCCCGGAGCTCGCTCTCGTAGATTCTGCTACGCTCGTACCATGCCCGCGCAAGAAACGTGTGAGCACGAAAGACAAAAACACTACTGCAGAAGGTACTTGAACCGTCACAAATTTCTACATATAATAGAGTTTTAGTGGACCGTACGCTAAAGCTTTACGTACGAAAGACATTTCGGGCCGAGAGTGCGCCTGCTAGAACGCAATAGAAGGGCTAGCGTATTTCGTACACACGCAACACTGAGGATTTCCCGTTGCGGGCTTTCCGGGAAGCTCTCGAGAGATCTCGGGCGCAGCGCGAGCACCAGTTTCAAGATGGCGGTTACCTCGACTGGCGCAGCGAGGGCGACGTGTTGTTCACGAAGTTCAGCGTTACATGAAATTGCGTGGTGTTTAGCTCGGCAATTCTTTCCGGGACGTATGCCGCGGTCGAATCAGGTCGCCATGAAGCTGAACGAGCACGTAGTGAAAATGTTCGCCGCTCGCAATGTTCGTGAAAGCTGCGACCTGCTCGACGCCAGGCCTCTTCGCGCAGTTCATCGCCGACGGACGAACGGCTCCTCAAGTAATAGCCGAAGTTGTCGCTATGCACTGGACATCAGTAGCTCATGGATTTCTTCCCGCGATAGCAATAATAAATGGTGTCGTTTCCACGGAACGATTGATGAAGGTTCCGTGATTGAATCCGCCTACGAACTCGTACTCGTAGCCTCGGTACCCCACAGGAAAGCGTGCTTGACCAGGCAGCTGCGCGCCTTGCTTTAATTTTATATAAAATTAGTCGAAACGTTATCATTTTCAATATTTCTTTTGAGGAGCATAGTGGTGCTACAAGCACGCGCAATGCTACGGCTCTGGCAAATTGAATCGGAAAGATCATGCGAGATGTTCACTCGCCAACGTAACGCGCACAACTAAAATCGGTCCGAGCAAGTCGTTTTCAGCATGCGCTATACTAGTGCGCATTATGTACGTAAGAGCCAGCAACTCTATACTAAAACTGTCTAATAAACCTTCATATTGCTTCGCACCACTGTCATGAAGAGTTGGAAATAATACGTACCGAAATTATTTCAGTGCTGTGCCCCAGAACGTGGCTTACCCGACAATGGCAGGTTGTCCTTTATTAACTGCAAAACATGAAGACAATGAAAGCATAATTAAAGTCGGAACCTTTCACCACTTTTACTAAAAGAATCCAAAGACACGTCGATGGAAGCCACTTTGCGCAAGCGTGCTCGTCTTTTAAGCGCAAACACATTTATACATGACTGAATCCTCGACCGTAAAAACCCGTATAAATAAGTCAATGAGCGAAATGCAGTTAAACTTTTCATAGATCTGTCTTTAGGTGATGCATTTAACATACCCCAATTTCGTCACTCCAAGCTATGGGGAAAAATTGATAAAGAAAATTGTATTATCGATGTACGCGGATAAACTTCATAAATAACAAACTGTCTGGTTTGGTTGACGCTGCATCTCACAGATGAAACCGCATAGAACTAAAGCATGGAAACATATCTTCGAGGTAAACACATTAGCCTTTATTTTGTTCAATTCGAAGAAGCTTTTAGGTTTTTGTTCCCTGTGGTTCTACAGATGGAACCACCTAGCACAAAAACTTGGAAACCTCTTTAAATATAAACACCCGAAAATCTAGAGGGTATTCATCTCGAATGAGTTTTAAACTTGTTTTTCTACCTGGCACTATCTTTGAGTGGCAGCGTGAACCAGACGGTTTACTTCAATTTACCTCCCAATAGACCTATCGCTAAATTACCCAATTTAGCAATAGGTCTATCGCTAAATTATCCAAGCATCAAGGAGAATGCAGGGAATGGTGTTCCAGGCGCCGCACATGCTGGCTTCCGCAGCAGCATAGCATCCTCTATCGGGAGTATTCACTGGCAGCCATATCCGTGTGCGCTGCTGCTGAGCGCGTGCTGACGGCGAGCTTCCGCAGTCCTTTTGGAGCGTGCATTTAGCACCATCGAGGTTGCCGGTCTTAGCAGGCGATTAATGTGAGCTCGTTCTGAGCATGCGCTATAAACATCGCCCTCAAATTTGGCGTCCAGTGAATACCTCCTATACCGACAAAACCTGGCAGATCGCCACGAGAAGCGGCCGCCGAAATTGAAAAGGTAAAGCGGCAGACAACGAATGAGAAGAGAGCCACGTGACGGGAGCCCCGCTACGGCGAAACGCCAAAACACACTTCTCCCGAGCGATGGAACATTCGCTCGAGCTCCTCGCGTTCCTCGCGCTATACCGCTTCTTTTCTCGTCGGGCTTGAAAACCATGTCTCGAATCCTCGCCGCTACAAAAGCTGTGCGCTAACGTCCGGGTTCTTGAGAAATGCTCCGTGCTACCATATCCCCGCGCTCCAAATCTGTGACCGGGCACTCTATGACTCCGTCGTCGAACTGCCAGGCTTTGTGAGTACAGAGGAGGCTATGGCAGCAGTAGCTTTTAGATGCGGAGCATCTCTTGCTCGGGTCTATGTCCCGCGGCGACGTAGTCCGCACTCACACTACCCATGCGCAACTCTTCTCCTCTCCTCTCTCTAACAGCTGCGCGTTACTCTCTCCCTCTACCAGCTGCGTGCACTTCGCGTGCGTTCACTTCTACTCACACCGCGCGCACATGCGCAACTCTCCTCCTCTAGTCTCCTCTCCTTCAAGTGTGAATATAAGCAGCGGTAGCGCGCTGCGCGCGTTCCTTCCGGCTCAGCAACACTTCCTTTGATTTCCTTACTCTCAAGACTCGGACTGACTGACTGCGCGCGTTCAGTTCACCGCTGTTGACTCCACTTCACTCCGTTCTTCCGATGAAGTGTGATAGAAGCAATAGTCCCGTCAGTTAGTGGGTTGGCGCAAGCAAGCGTCAGCACCACCCCACAAACTAACAGCAACGCTACGTCCACTGAAGACAAAGCTGTGCAGCGAAGGGCACGCGACGCTGAGCGCAAACGCGTGAAGCGAGCGGCGGACCTGAACTACGGCAACGAGAAGCGGCGTCCATTCGTCAACTTCGAGCGGCGGATGCTGAACTACGACAACGTGAAGCAGCGGCGGTTCGAGAACGTCGAGCAGCAGAACCTGAGGTTCGGGACCGTGAAGTTCAACGTAAACGTACGAAGCGAGCGGCGGAACCCGACCTTCGAGAACGGGAAGCCGCGTTGGTTCGTGAACGTCGAACAGCAGAACCTGAGGTTCGGGACCGTGAAGTTTAACGTAAACGTAGTTTCCAACAACGTTCACGCGATGTGTGGTAACCAACGCAAGTTAACAACGTAATAACATGCAAGTTAACAACGTTACTAACAACGTTACTAACAACGTTACTAACACCGTTAATAACACCGTTAATAACACCGTTAATAACACCGTTAATAACACCGTTAATAACGATCCGCGATGCTCCGCATCACCCCATGGTTCCCCTCGGGAAGATGGTGTAATTTTTCTAAACCAAAGGGCTAAAACAAATGGTATCGAGCACGTTCATCAGCGCTTTATTTTGGTTATTTACTTCGAATCTTTTATACAGGCAAGGCGTGCGCGTGCGGCGCGTAGAACACCATTTCCTGCATTGTCCATGATGCTTGGGTAAGGATAATGCAGGGATTGGTGTTGCACGCGCCACACGTGCTGGCCTCAGCAGTAGTAACTTTTCTAAAACAAATACCTAAAACAAATGGCATCTTGCACGCGCGTTCGTCAACGCTTTATTTTGGTTATTTACTTCGAATCTTTTATACAGGCAAGGCGTGCGCGTGCGGCGCGTAGAACACCATTTCCTGCATTGTCCATGATGCTTGGGTAAGGAGAATGCAGGGATTGGTGTTGCACGCGCCACACGTGCTGGCCTCAGCAGTAGTAACTTTTCTAAAACAAATACCTAAAACAAATGGCATCTTGCACGCGCGTTCGTCAACGCTTTATTTTGGTTATTTACTTCGAATCTTTTATACAGGCAAGGCGTGCGCGTGCGGCGCGTAGAACACCATCTCCTGCATTGTCCATGATGCTTGGGTAAGGAGAATGCAGGGATTGGTGTTGCACGCGCCACACGTGCTGGCCTCAGCAGTAGTAACTTTTCTAAAACAAATACCTAAAACAAATGGCATCTTGCACGCGCGTTCGTCAACGCTTTATTTTGGTTATTTACTTCGAATCTTTTATAAGGGGATGGCGTGCGCGTGTTGCACGTGGAACACCAATCTCTGCATTCTCCTTGATGCTTGAGTAATTTAGCAATAGGTCTATAGGTCTATAGACAGATCAAACCAAGCGTTCGATGCATGCGTGACGCCGCCATAACTTTAGTTCACGAGAGGCAGATGGCCAGGCATGCGAGGGCTTGTGGCGTCTCGTGCTCCGCAAGCGCAGAGCTCAAGCATGGGTGTGGCACGTGCAGAAAGACTAAAGTCCTCTCGACGCATAGGCCCGTAGCTCTCAAGTTTTGAGCAGCGCTCCAGGCGAGCAAAATATAATATTTGGCTCGCGTTTCGAACATGCGTCAATACGCTTCCCCACTACAGTTTTTTCTACTCCGTTCCATTCTACACTCTGTTTCACCTTATGTTGTACCGCAGCGAAGGCTAGAAGCGCGAGATCATAGCGCTGGCAGTTGCTCTTAATGCACGAGAGCTTGTGCCGCGGAGATGTGCCCTAGAGCAAGGAGCTCGCTCTTGTAGCCTTTTCTGCGGTACATCATAAGGTGAAACAGAATAAGTGCCAGCGTAGCAGAGGCTACAAGGGCGAGCTCCGAGCTTTCAATGTCCCTACCAAGCACGCGCGCTCGTGCAGTGCGAGCATCGTTCAGGGGAACATGCTTTAGCAAGTAGCTTCGGCCTCGCTATCAAGTAAAGTGAAACATACGGGCTCATAGAAGCCATGAACGAAAGCAATAAAATAATAAAGCTGAAAGGAATGTCTGAGGAATTATGCAGCTCGCTGAGGCCGCGAGCTGCATAATTCCTTTTTTATTATTTTAGTTTTTTTTAGACGTTTTGTTATCGCGCGTCTACAGATGCTCACAGATGCTTGCATTCGAGCGTGGCGCATGCAAAATCGAACGTTGCAGCGCCGCCTGGGTGGTGCTGCCAGCGTAACATGGTCGCGTCTTGCGGACTCGCTCACGCCCCCTGCCCGAGAGCAACGGGTCTATTGCGGCAGCGGTGGCGTAGTCAAACTGACTGGTGCAGCCCGAGGTTAGTCTGCCTCAAAAGACCCTTTGCAAAAATCCTAAAAGCCCGCGTGCGCCGCGCGACGAATAAAGGGAGTCCTCGGTACGCCCCTCCTCCCGCTACCACGTGACCACGTGGCATACGCGAGCAGGCGCAGGTTACCACGGCTACAACTTTTGAGCAGCCAAAAGTCGGGCGAGCGACGAGCCAACGGCTGCCCCTTTCTCGTCCCTCTCCTTCGTATCGGCTCTGTCGTCTGCTGCACCAACGTTTTGTCGACCTGGTCGAAACCTGCCACGGTTACGGTGCAAAATAAGTGGATTCGGTGGGGCGGGCCCCATGCCCCCCCTGGCTACGTGCCTGCCTGTCGCGATGCCTTTACGCTGCCACAGATGCGGTACGCCGCCAGCGACGCACGACTCAGCGGATGGGCGGGATGGCTTCAACGGCTGCTGACGGTAGCTGCCGGGACGCGCGCGAAGTCGCGGAGGCGCAACGAGAAAGCGCGTGATCTGTACCGAGGGTTCCCAAAATCCCCTGCCGTCGTGGCGCTGTACGTTTTGCAACAGGTCTATTGGCGACTTGCCTTTCAGCTGTAGATGAGCGATTTGGCCAGTGCAGAACGAACACTAGGCTGGGGTCATGAATCTGGATCACGCAGTAGTGATACACGACCGCGCGCCGATACGATGCTCATCCAGATCGAAACGGGTAGGGGTAGAGATTGAGCACAGGAACCCTGGGTTCTGCAGCGCGAGCTTTCGCTCCACATGCCCTAAGCTGGGGAGCTCTAGCCCACTCGGCCACCGATTCCTTCCATTTACCTCCCCGGCACTAGGGCTTCCAACTTTTAGCATGATAAATACACCACCTAAAAATACCTTTGTGACAATGTTAATTGCACTTTGTTTATTGGCTTGTTTATACGGAATTTTGTACAACTGAATATGGCTCGAGAACAGCCTACGCATGCAAAATATCAGAGTTTGAATACCTGCTCCGGTCACATGTCACTAGCTTAAAAAAGCGGGAGGAGCGCAATAAAACTGAAGACTTCAAATCATTTCAATCAAATACGTTTAACCTAATTAAAAAAAAATATATATATATATATATATTATATATCAAAAAGGCAGTTTCCCAGGCTTCGACACTGTACTGTACCATGAGAGTATGGCTAGGTGGTGCATTTATTTATTGCTCATTGTTTTGTTGACTGTATACGGACAGCTCTTGGCCGTAAAAGAAGTAAATAAACAAACTGAAAAAAGCACAACACTTTAATATTTTTAAAGTATACTAAAACAAGGTAAACTAAAGGCATGTGATTCAGATGCCAACAAGCATATTTTAAATGTGGCGAGGGGACAAAATTGGTTAAAGTCACCCTTTCCCCATTATAAAGAAGCTGTAACGTGTTATCGGGGACCAGACATCAACTCTAGGGAGGTTCGGGAAAGGGGCGAAGGTGGGGGTGCGGATCTGATACGCTTTTGTGGAACACAAATTGAAAGGAACGAAGGCACATCAAAGGTGTCATTAACAAGTTTAGAGAAAACTTCCGTTTACACCTAAGCACTTCTTATGAGTTGTGAATGCGAAAGCATGAATGTCGTTATACCGCTCTCTTAATTAGTCTGCGGTGTACTGGCGCGGACGGCCACATTTCGCTATTGCCGAAATTGCGGCCACCGACCATGCTCCTCGGCGCCGAGAGGGGCAGAAAACCCCGCAGATACCCCCCCCCCCCCCCTCCTTTTTCCGGTGACGACTGACACGAGAGCGACGGCCGTGCGCCAGAAAGAGGGTTTCTCTGTGGGGTGACGTACCGTGGAACTATACGCGTCCCGGCCAATGGCTATGTAGGAGCCGTTTCATTGTAAGTTTCTTTCACGTTTTGCTTGGTTATAGACGCCGCCGCCTGCGCTCCATAAAACAGTTCATGCTTTCGCATAAAAAAAACATTTCGCATTAGTTTTTTATAAAGATATACCGATACCAAAAACGCTGTGAATTGTGAAATTATTAAACTGAAAACTTGTAACATTTAAAAGTTAAAATTTGAATTTTTTTTTCACCCGATTGTACAAAGTTTTGTTTTTTGAGATTTAACCTGAAAAAGTGACCCTTTAAGCCTTTGGGGCATATTAATTATTGGGCTGAATTTGACTACGAGAAGAAAAGTATAATTTTTCTTCACTCTTTTTGTTATTATTTAATCGAACGCCCACAACAACGTTGTTATCTTTTATTTTTTTAGGTCGAAACGAAGGAGAATTAACTTTATATTGGTTTATATAAAAACTGTGTTCTATTTCTAACTTTTGACTAAGGCAAGTTTGCTTCCCGACATTTTCGAATAACAAATGCACCACCAAGCCGCACCTTCGAGCTTAATTACAGCGTCATTCCACGGGAAACTGATTTTCGAGGTTTATTCAAAGTGAATTCGTTTCGATAGGCCCTCACCGTATGGCGAATTCAGACAACTGAGATGGTCGATGGTCTATGCTCTACGGAGGCAGTCGGGAAAATAAATGTGCAAATATCTTACTGCTGAAATGAGCGTATACCGCGCCCTATGAGTGAATGAGTTGCGACGCACTGCTCATGGCTTACCTGTAACAGCCGCGCGCGGACGACATCTTCGACTGTGGCTTGGGCGAACTCCGGTAGGCTAAGGTTGTTCTTCCTCAGCTCCTCCTTCATCTGAGCAGTATTCATCAAGCTCACAGTGTCCACATTTTTCTGGATGATCAGAGCGCACAGATATTCCTTGTAGTGCTGCCTGCAATTCAACATTAGACATCAGGCAACGTTAATGAACTATTTGCACTAAAACGACGAGAGAAAAAAAACACGCCTCCAATTGTTTTTAAGCACATGTGGCGCGCGAAGGTATTTTTGGTGGGTTGCAATCACTTGCGCTTACTTCACGAGCACCGAGAGATCAAGCCTGTACGAGGTATGCTCGAGTACACACTGAGCGTGCTTAAAATGTGTCGGCGTCCGTTTGTTGTTGTTTTTTTTTTTTTTTTTTTTTAGGTAGATTCGGTTATTAAAAGGCAACAGACAAAGCTAAGCTGATTAGAGCAATTAGGGTGAAACCGTTGAAAAAGCGGAGCTGGAACATGTCGGAACACCCATACAAGCTTCAGATATGGTATCTGTACACTGGGTCTGGTCGACTTGCGGGCGAGTTCGCAAGGGATAGGAACATCGGGTGTTCTGTTGGTGTACTTGCATTTCACGCGATCTTGTTCTTAGCCGACCCTTCTACTTTTTAAGCTCACCAGAAGAGACCGCTACTCCTATCAAATATCAAAATTAATTGGTGTAGTTCCGTTCTACACGATCTTGTTCTTAGCTGACTTCTATTTTTAATCGCACCAGAAGAGACCACCACTCCCATAAAATATCAAAATTGATTGCAGTAAGGAGCTAAAATGATCCAAAGTGGGCATGCGTACAGATTACAAGCACTGCCTTAGAGCGTGAGAATATCGAAATACTAAACGCTGTCATCAGTTAAACCTGAAATTCTGGAGTTCCAGGGTGACGTCGAGAACTGTGCCCGGAAGATGGAGAAAAAGAGAAAATAAATGGAGGTTGAGGAGAAATCGACAAAAGCCGGAGTTCGGCACGCACTCGCATTTGCCGTTCTTGTGTGCTTTCCCCGGGCATTTGCTCTCGTCGCCGTCGTCCCCGGTTAGCATAATGGAACAGGGTTCGTCGTCAGCTGGAAGGTCATCTTCCATCGGGACAGATGCCTCCTGAAAATTTCAAAGAGCGAAACATTATAATCAATGAGACTACAAAAAAAAAAAAAAAAAGAAAGAAGTATATCTTGGATTTGCAAGCCTTTGGCAGCGGCCTGTGCACCTATGATATATTTCCGGCCAACTTCGACAGGCAGCCCCTTTCTTTGAAAATGGCGTAATCTGTCTTCTGTTTTACCAAACTTGCATCAGCGTCGCCGCGAGCGCGTCTGGTAGCGTCTCACAATGAACGCGACGACGTTTGCACACGGCGACGCAGACGGACGCGTTTACCGGTTTGCGGCGACGCTCGTCAAGCCTAGGCGCGTTCCCCTGTTGGAGCGCGCCAAGTCTATAGCTGTCCTTTAGTTCGCGTGAAACTCGGGGAATTTAAGTCCGCGCTAAGTTCGTACGTGGTAAGTTTTCCGTGCTAAGTTGCGTTTTAGTTCGCGCCAAGTTAAGGGATTTTGGTCTTCACTAAGTCCAGTCATTTTTGTCCGCGCTAAATTCAATGGTTTATTGCATCATAAATTCAGGTATTTGTATTTAATTCAATGCTAAGTTCAGTAATTTCTTCCTAAAGAAAGCTGGTGTGTGGCTTTTTCAGGAAAAAAAGTTGCCCTTTGGAAATCCAAACTAAATGGTCGCCCCCTTCTCCCTTAAACCCTCCCGTATTAGTATGTCCGAAGCTCCGGAATTTTAGTACTTCTTGTTTAAGATGTTTTTTTTTCTTCTATTTAGTGTGTGCTATGTTTAGGCAGTTTAGTTTGCCCCAGCTGTGCTGTGCTTTCCTTGTATGCCTGCCAACGCTCCTCAGTGAGACACCTCGAACGTGAATTTCCTCTTAGGCAAAATTTTGAGTAGTGCAAAAAACAGACCCGAAGAAGGTTGACCAGATGTTCCAACGGATAGTCCCTTGTGTAGAAAAAGCAGTTCCTCGGGTGGTGGGCGTGAAACCCTTTCTTCTGGCAGGCTTCTCCAACCACGCACTTCTGCGGAACCAAACACATTGAGGAATCTCCCAAAAAGTCACTGGCAAATTGCGTGGTAAAACCAGGGCCGGTGTCCGTGGTGAACGCGTGTATCTCTGCCGGCGGTTGAAGTAGCATCAAGAGGGAGTTTGAGGTCACATGACCGACTACGTAGAGACCAGAAGCTAAACGTATGCACCGAGAAGCTGAGGAAGAGGGGGAGACGAGAGGAGACGTCAGAACATCGAGCTTTGTTTGGAATGATTAGTGGGTAGACCTGAAGGCCCGTTCACACTTTTGCGAGCGAGTATACGACTGATACCCTAGTAACACGGGCGCCTTCAACTGCCATTGAGTCAACGACAGTTGACTCAATCGCGATCGGCTGAAGTTACACGGCGGCGCCAACTGTCATCGAGCCGCTAATGACAGTTGAGTTCAACTGAGCTCCCCTACCTAAGTTCAACTGAACGGACTTCCCCAACTGAGGTAAAATGGCGCCTGTCCGCGGGACCGCTGCCGCCGACCATCGTTTCCGAGGCACTTACTGTTTCGGAATGCAGGGGGAGGAGTCTAAAAAGAATCGTAGCAGCAAAATATCCGGGAAGGAATAGATTTAGGCGTCCGAGCTGCCGCTAAAACGATCCCGGCTAGCCGGCAAGCCACCACACGAGCGAAGATGGCAGCGGAACCAGCTGTGTGAATGGACAGATAGCAGTGGGTGCACCCATCGTAGCGGGTGGTAGCTAGCTCCACCTAGCCTGAAATATGAGCAACTTAGCCCTGAATCTGCTTTGGTACTGATGTAAACGCCGCTAAAAAGCAACAAGGTAATGAACATAATGTACGATATACTTATCGTAAATAAAATATGTTACTCCAAGTAGATTACTTTAACAATTAGACTGATCACGTGGCACAAGAACTAGCTTCGTTTTAGCTTCAACTGGGTTCTAGAGAGCCGTGTGAAACCATCTCAGTTCAGTTCAATCACAGTTGGAGCCGATAACTGTGATTGAACTCAACGACAGTTCAAAGCGCCCGTGTAACTAGGGTATGAGAGAGACCAGACCGGTTTTTAAGCCTCTTGCGATGTCTTAGGACCAGCTCCGCTACACCGCATCCGGTCCTAAGACGTCGCAAGCGGCTTAGAAACCGGTCTGGTCTCTCTCGGTCTTCCTCGGTCGCAAGAGTGTGAACGGGCCTTTAAGCTCTCCACGGGGACCTTGAGCATGCTGATCACGTGGGCACGGACAGCCACTCACAGGCTCTTCTGGCTGTCGGTCAATCGCTCAAGGCCTCCGCTGCTCTTCAGGTCCCGAAAATGGGAAAGGGAAGGGCTTTGTTCGCAATCTCACTCAAAGAGATCCAAGCCACTACGGCGGGTCGTGTCACGTGATAACGCAGAGAGAGAGCGACGCTGGACGCCGGGTAGGTTTTCGAAAGCAAAGATACAAAACCCCTTAACCTGGACTAAGGTCAAGTAAATTTTGGAACGCGTCCAAGGATACGAGGGCCCGGATGAACCAATGGACATGTCATGGCCAGGTGGCGTGTGACCTAAGTCTGATGAGCACCGAGGTCACCGAAAAGCGGAGAAAATCGTGATGTTGGCTCGGTGGTGTTCAAACACACATCGCGGACTGCCTGATGCTTCAAGTTCCACGATTTTTGCCGGAGTCGTGTCGTCTCGCGATTTCTGAAGTGTCCTGTTTGGACAGGCTTTTAGAACGCGGAACGCCGGAGTCCGGCTTCCGCATTCTAGCGCATTCGACGAGTTCAGGGGAGACAAAGGCAGCTATAGCTTCGGGAGTAATCACTAGACGCCATATTTGTGGGTGCTGTTTAGAGCGCATGCTCAGAACGAGCTCACACTAATAGGGTGCTAAGACCGGCAATCTTGATGGTGTGGAACGCACGCTGCAAGAGAACTGTGGAAGCTCGCCTTCAGCATGCGCTCAGCAGTCGCGCACACAGCTATGTCCGCCAGTGGAATACTCCCTATAGGAAGTATTCTCTGGCGGCCATTGCTGTGTGCGCGACTGCTGAGCGCGTGCTGATGGCTAGCTTCAAGGGTTCTTTCGCAACGAGCATTCCACACCGTCAAAATGGCCGGTCTTAGCAGCCGATCTTAGCAATGGGGGCTCGTTCTGAGCACACGTTCTAGACAGCACGCACAAATATGGCGCCCAGTGAATACTCCTTATAGTCATTCGAACCAGAGCTCGGCGTTCTGACGTCTCGTGCTGTCGTCTCCTCCTTCCCAGTTTCTAGGTGCATATCTAGCCTTCCGCGCAAACACCTGCCGTATGTCCGTCCTCGCTTCGATTATTCGAGCCTTATTTCGCGAGCAGGGAGAGGGTGAACACACTTGAAATGCAAGTGAAGTGAGACGCATTCGTGCGTACTTTAGGGATGACGTGTAGGGTTATTTCTGGGGAAGGTCGTTTTTCGCTAGAGTTGAAGAAAACGGCGGGGTGGGTGGAATCGGATGCAGGAACGCTAGGTACGGCCACAAGCCGGTCACATGTTCGAAAAATTCGTCCTGCGGCTGGTTTAACCGCCGGAAGAAATAGTCGCATTCACCAGCGAACCGGCCCCATGAGGAACCGATATATGGTCTTGTAATCATTCAACTGCATCATTCACTGTGCAGAACCACGTCTCGCGGTTCGCCGCTTTCAAGAAAATCACATCACATACCACACATCGAATAAGCTAAAAACAGTTGTAATCGGCGACGGATTAAGGAGAATCTCCCCCGGGTGTTGCCTTCTGCCGGAGCTTGGCTGCGCGTGCGACCAAGTGTTATCGAAGCCTAGACCGTTTCGGACACCCCGCGCTTCCTTTTCGGATTCTTTTCTTAGACTCTGAGCCCGTCACCAGAATAGGCTATGTTTTAGTTAACTTTTGAGATGCTTTCATGAAGTGGAAATGTGTCGTGATGGCTAACCTACGATTTGGTTTCAACGCAGAAACAATCGTGGCACTGCTCGGCAGTCCTTGGGGTTGTGAAATACTGTGGAGTTAAAGTTGAGACTAAATGATTTATATGCATCCCTAAACATAATTTTGATTAGTAACTGAAGCTAAAGGGATATGCGACGTATTAAAAAAATAACTATAAGACACAGTTAAATTTACTTTAACTTTATTGTAACTTAAAAAAAAAGAAAACTTAGTTGCCGATATTGTAACTAACTAAAGTAAATATATGTTTTTAATTTGTACATTGACAGCTCTTCATCTGTAATGAGATATTTGTCATTTTTTTAATCAAATAACGCAAACTCCTGAAGTATCGGCATCTGATCCAAACCGTACTAAATTCGGATAGGGACTGAGCGGAGTTCGTGCTTACGGCGAGGAAAACATTATCAATATTTATATCAAGCGCCATGTACTGCGCCCAACGTCACTAGAAGTCTTCGTTTCAGTTGTGGAGCTTCCCATCTTGCCAATGCTTTTCCTCCCAGCCTAAACATTTCTGGCGCCAGGCCAATAGGCGACGCGAGTACCACGCCTGCTGGCAGGGCACTGAGAGCGCCGCGAGCGCCTCTGGTTTTGACAGCGCCACGTTTCATCCTGATGCATGTTCTAGGTCCTAGCACCAGCAGTTGCGACCTCAATTCTCGCGCGGGCGCAGACAGGAAAAGCCTGGAGAAGGGGGACAAGGGGACAAAGGACGAACACAAAACTCCAAACACAGCTAGGTGACTGATACGCGACCGAAAAAATTCCCCTGGTCCATGGTATCGAACCAGGGACCTCTCAATTTCCAGTGGAGCGCTCAGTCAACTGAGCTAACCAGGAATTTTTCGGTCGCGCACGAGTCACGTAGCTGTGTTTGGAGTTTTGTGTTCGTTCTTTGTACCCCTTGTTTCCCTTCTCCAGCGTTTATTTTCGTCATTCTTGTCCAGGTCTATTGCACCTCTGCATTTAATTACATTATCATCGGGAAAAGCCGCAGTTTTGAAATGTCCGCATCACTTATGGAACGAGCTCCCACCTTCCTCGCGGCAACTCCACAATGAGCGTCGACTGTTGGGTTCGACCAAGAAAGTTTTTGGCTCGGCTGCAGAGCGCGAGCTGCGTGATACGAAGCTTCTAGTGACGTTGGTACTACCAACCAGCGCAATGTTTCGCCTAGTTCACCGGATCCGTATCCTGCATTCGCAAGTGATGATAAGTACTAAAAAAAAAAAAACGACCGATAATTCCTCTATGTACACTCGATTAAAAAACCTGCCTCGAGTTCAATGAAATTTAAAACGTATCAAACAGGGCTTAAGAGCATCAGTTCAGCCAGGAGAGCGGTCGTGCATATCGTTTCGCCAACAGCCGCCCAGCCAGCATTAGGAAGCTTTAGCAGACCGTTCAGTTTTAATAGATCGTTCCGTCACCTCCAATAGAGAGTTTTAGAGAACTGTTTTTGCACACCCGATACGGTACGGTTAAGCCCTCCGGTACGAACTGCGCACGTGAGAGGCTTCTGCGGTATCGCATGCACAGTTCGTACCGGACGGAGGGCTTATTGTACCGTATCGAATGTGCACGAACGGTCTCCTAAAAGTTTTTAACGACGATACCCGATAACGGTGCAATGCATACGCAAATGCGTCGACGGGGTATCAGGTATCGTCATCGTGTTAATAGGGAGTTTTAGCGAGTCGTTTTTCGAGCATACGGTTCCGAAATCACGAACGGTGCAGCTGATCCGTTCCGTTAGACCGTACGCAAAATTTAACATATTTTAGCGAATCGTGAAACTGGCGCGACCATGTAAACCATGATGATGATTTGTTTGGCGGGTGGCGCCATCTTCTAGTAAACATGTGAAACATTCTGCAACGTGTAAATCCGTGGCGGCTTGTGTTTCCGGCCTATACGACTGACGAGAACAAGACGGCCGACGTAACATTTGCCGGTCGGATTTTGAAGAAGCTAGATAGAGTAAAAAGTGTCTGAACGACCGTAAAGGTACGTGGTGTGTCTCCGTCATCCTGAACTCAAACAATCGTTCACGTTGTGTGCCGTCGAACCAAATCGTTTCGCCTGGTAGCGGTCGCCGCAGCTGCTAGTCTGCCTGCAGATCGCAAATATTTACTAACATGCGCAGTTTACAGCATTCATGATCGCTTACCATTGTGAGCAGTCCTCGAAACGATTTGGTTCAACCTCTCAAATGAAGCAGACTAACAGGATGGCAAATCGCCTCCCGCTGTCCTAAGCCTAACGCTCGGCTGGGTTGGCGAAGTCAGTCGTCGAAACGACCGCCATCTTTTTTCTTTCTTTTTACCCCAGTCATGAAAGGTGCTGGCTGCGTTGCAGTTGTGACTCCAGCGGCCGCGGGATGGGAGAAACGAACGAGAAGAGCCTCCCAACGCCCCGAACGACTCGTGTGCGCTTGCGCAGTGGGGTCGTTGACACGTTCGAGGGCGAACCGTTCGTGTGGAAACGACCATTAGGGAGTTTCAGCGAGTCGTTTTTCAAGCACACGGTTCCGAAATCACGAACGGTACAGCTGATCCGTTCCGTGAAACCGTACGTCCAATTTGACATACTTCAGCGAGTCGTGAAAGTGGCGCGACTGTGTAAACGATGATGATGATCTTGCTTAACGGTGGCGCCATCTTCTAGTAAACATGTGAAGCATTCTGCAACGTGCAAATCAGTGGCGAAGGTGGCGGACACCGTGGTGGCGGTTCGCGTTTCCGGCGTACGACTGATGTAAACAAGACAGCCGACGTAACATTTGCCGGTCGGAATTTCAAGAACTGCGAAGCTAGATAGAGTAAAAAACGTCTGAACGACCGTAAAGGTGTGTGGTGTGTCTCCGTCATCTTGAACCTGAACGATCGTGAACGTTGTGTGCCATCGAACCAAATCATTCGTCTGCTCGCGGTCGCCACGGCAGCTAGTCTGCCCGCAGATCGCTAAAATTTACTAGCATGCGCAGTTTACAGAATCCACAATCGCTTACTATTGTGAGTAGTTCTCGAAATGATTTGGTTCAACCTCTCGAATGAAGCAGACTAAAAGGACGGCAAATCGCCTCCCGCTGTCCCTAGGCCTAACGCTCGGCTGGGTCGGCAAAGGCGGTCGCCGAACCGACCGCCATCTTTTTTTTACCCGAGTCGTGAACGGTGCTGGCTGCGTTCCGGTGACGACTCCAGCGGCCGCGGAATAGGAGAAACGAACGAGAAGAGGCTCCCGACTTCCCGAACGACTCGCGCGCGCATGCGCAGTGGCGTCGCGGATGCGTTCGAGGGCGAACCGTTCGTGTGGCAACGACCTGCTAAAACTCCCTATTTTTAGCCAAGGAACGGTTTCAGGGAACCGTTTCAGGGAACCGTTTCAGGGAACCGTTTTCACACATCGGACACGGTACAATAGGCCCTCCGGTATGAACTGCGCATGTGCGAGTCTTCTGTGGTAGCGCATGCGCAGTTCGATGGCCCATCGTGCCGTATCGGACGTGCAAAAACGGTTCCCTTTGACTCCCTATTAGAACGATCTACATAAACGGCTTAATAGAGAGTTTTAGTATATCGTTCCGATACCCCCGATAACGATACTATGCATGCACAAGGGAGGCGGTGGCGGAGTATCGGGTATCGTTATCGGAGTCATGGGAACGATCTACTAAAACTCTCTCATAACAATATGAATCGTCGGGAATCGCTATCGGTGTAATCGGAACCATCTCCTAAAGCTCCCTCATAACAGAACGAATATCGGGTATAGTTCCTATACCTCCGATAACGATACTACTCGCGCGCAAAGGCGTCAGCGGAGTAACGAGTATTTTCATCGGACGTATCGGGACGGTCTACTAAGGCTCCCTAACGATACGAAGTATCGTGTAGCGTTTTCGGAGTTACCAGAACGATCTACTGAAACGTCCTACTAGTGCGCACGCAAGAGCGCAGCGGGCAACCGAAACGTGTTATCGCTGACGGAAACCCCGTATGCGACGAACACGTGCACTCACCGCCCCCTTGGTAAACTCGGACCTGCAGCTCTCGCAGAACTCGCACTTGCACTTTGGACAGGTCAGGTGAGCGCAGCCTCCTTTCGCGACGACGAAGCTGGCTTCGCATTTGGGGCACTCTGCGCAAAAGGAACCCCGAGGAACGCTGGTTAGGGACGCCAGCGAGTCGGTCCAGGTGGGCCACGCGTGGGTTGTGTCACGTGACACCTACGCGTCAACGGGTTGAATTCTAGCGCTCTTCATAAAACCCTTTTAACATAAGTAAAGTCAAAAACAAAATCTTGGTTTCTTGTTTTGTCGTGGTGCTAATGTGCTGCAACAACCAGAGGTCGGCATTTTTGGTCGCCCTCACTCACCCTCACCCTCACAGCCACACTCACCTAAGCCTCCCACTCACCCTCACCCTCACAGCTAAACTCACCTTCAGTCCCTCACTCATCCTCACCCTCAGAGTCACACTCACCTTCAGCCCTTCACTCACCCTCACTGAACCTCACGGCCCTCACGCACTCACCGCCCTCACGCCCCTCACTCACTCATGGCCCTCACGCCACTCACCGCCCTTACGCCACGCACCGCCCTCACGGCCCTCACCGCCTTCACGGCCCTCACGGCCCTCATGGCCCTCATGGCCCTCACGCCACTCACCGCCCTCACGAACCTCACCGCCCTCACGGCCCTCACGGCCCTCACGCACTCATTGCCCTCACGCCACTCACCGCCCTCATGGCCCTCACGCCAGCTTCAGATGGGGCAATTTCGCCCAGAAACTTTACGTCGCGACACCAGCAACACGGGCCGCCCCGCGATCACACGCAGCAACCAATTGCTGCAATTTGCCATCGTCATCATAAAATTTTATTTTTCTTGCACTATTTAGACACAATTACGCGTTATAAACGTGTTTTTATGCATTTAAATCTCGTTAAGTATACTAATGCACCTTTCTGAAACAGGTTATTTCCAAAAAAACGATCGATTTCAAACCAGAACCAAGTATTTCGGTGTCATCATCACCGGCACGAGGTATCACGTGAAAATTTTGCGTCCCTGATTGGATGCAGCCGCTTCAAACGTATTCGAATTGCTCCGAGCTGCTTCCTTATTTCGAGCCGGACCCGATCTCAGCAATTCGTGTCGATCTAGGGAAAGCTAGAGAACAATCCGCCATTAACAATAAAATTGCTGAGAAAGATGCTCAATCTGAAGGGCGCCTCACGCACTCACCGCCCTCACGCACTCATGGCCCTCACACACTTCATTCACTCACCGCCCTCACGGCCCTCACGCCACTCATGGCCCTCACACCCCTCATACACTCACCGCCCTCACACCACTCACGCACTCATGGCCCTCACGCCACTCACCGCCCTCACTCCCCTCACGCACTCATGGCCCTCATACCCCTTACCGCCCTCACGGCCCTCATGGCCCTCACTGCCCTCATCGCCCTCACGGCCCTCACGGCCCTCACAGCCCTCACGGCCCTCATACGCATGAATTTTCCTGGTTCAGAAACTCACTCACACTCACCTCACCTGTGAAGATGAGGGTGAGTGAGGGTGAGTGAGGGCCCTCATGAGTGAGGTTTGCCGAGGTATGGCGACAACCGCGCCGACGAGGTGCACAGCACTGGGGGGCTAAGCTCGGCTCCGGCGGGAATCTCTCCAATGCCACGTCACGAGGGAGGGGAGGAGCTTCTTTTCACTCCGCCCCGGCGAGTTTCCCACTCCCCCTCTTACATTTCCGACCCCCCCGGTGGCGGCGAGTTCCCCAGCGTAGCTCCGATTTTTCCCTACGCTCCGCAGTGAAGGGTTTTTATTTTATTTAAATCGGGGGATTGGTGGCTGGCTGGGCTAGCGCACACCAGCTCGGAGCACGTCGAGCGAAAGGTCCGTTGCAGAACCCAGGACGCTGGGTTCAATCCCCACCGCTGCCCTTTTCGATGTTGATGAGCATCGTACCGGCATGCGGTCGTGTATCACTACTGCGTGGTGCACGTTAAAGACCCTAGGCTAGCAGTCATACTGCACTGGCTAAATTGCTTATCTACAGTAGGTGACAATGTCGCAATGTTCTGGCATGTTCTCGTGCTGTATAAACAACTAACGGCCAATTTGTTTGTCAAAATACGGTGTGGAAGAAGAAAGATGAGAAAGAAATTACACTGTTGTTAGTCTGCTCCATTCATGTATATTTCTTTTCTTCTATCATCTATTTTAGTTTGAATTTTATCAAGTGCATTTATCTTGCATCTACGCAGCACAGCAACCCATCCAAATAATTGTAAAAGCCTGTAGGTAATGTTAAATTGCGTTCCTGGTTGCAGATTGCCGTAAAAACACATTTGTTTCTAGGATTCACTTTGTAGAATTTGGATGTAGGATTCACGACGGGAGCGACGGTTCATTCACGGCTCCATCGCCTCAAGCCCGGTTCGCCACGCAGTTCATCGCACAGCCACCTTACCACGTCTTTCGAGAGGCGATAGTGTTGTTGAAAATGAACGTCGTCCATGTCAAACACATTGGCGTAATTTAAATACCTATGCCGTCGGCAAAACACGAACGAAAACGCTGCTATTTTGGACGCTTCTCCCTGATCTCGCGCCCTACTCGCCCAAACTCGCCTAGGTCGGAGCCGGCAAGCTTTTCCCATCCGCGGCGGCTTCTGCCACGTCACAATGACGTCACCGCATCTCGCCGCGAGTTCCGAATATGCAACTCTCCGACCGCCTCAAACCCTCTGTTCTGACATCACGATCTAGGGAGTGTCGGCGCGTGTCGTCATGCACGGCGCCGACCAATCGCGGCGGTCGGCGAGTTTGGCGGAGAATTCGCCTCGATCTCGTCGCGCCGAGCTTAGCGGGCCCCCTGGTCTCTACTATAAGGGACTGGATGGCGCTTAGCTGCTCTCCGAGCCTGGTGCAAGTAAAGCCACCGGAAGCTCGATGCTTATCCCGGAAGTCGGGCGTACGCTGGCCTTTCGAGTGCAATCAATCGATATTCTGTTTGTTTGTTTGTTTGTTGTATTTTTGACACAATTTTCAAGGGTGTTGGGACAAAAAACGAATACAATCACCTGATTGGGTCCCAACCCCTGTAACAACACTCAACAGCAGGGCACAAATCGAGATAGAGAAATAAAATGAAAAGCCAGCTCGCAGCACAAGTCAAGAAAGAAATTATTTCATCCAAGTAAAAACTCTTCAGCTTAAAAAGAAAAACATTAATAACACAACTCACTAGGTATGTACACAAGGAACATTAAAATATACCCTCAGGTATTTTTTTTTTTTTTTCATGAAACATGGAAGTGATTTCCGGGGCCATCTCATACACGTAATAATGTTTGTTTAGGATATCTGTGATCTGGTAGGATAATTTTTGAGTACCATAATTATTTCTCATTTTTGGTTTTGGAAACTGCTGATGCCTCAGGTTGTAATTTGTTTGCTTGGGTCGGTACGTCTCGCGAAAGATGTCAGGATCAGTGTTAATTTGTGTGTGAATTGAAATCGCCAGTGAAAAAAGGTTATCTACCGTAAGTATTTTATGTGTATTGAAACTATAGGAAGTTGATTGAAACCAGGACAAATTATCAATTAACCGAACCGCGCGTTTTTGTAATGTAAGCAATTGCTTAATATTATTTCCTGTGGTTGTCTTCCACAACACTAAACAGTAATAAAGCCTCGAGTGAATCATAGATGTATAGATTTGTTGTTTTAACCAGTTTGGAAGAAGTTGTCTGCACCTAAAAAGTAAACCAACGGATCTAGAAATCTCCTTTCGGAGATCGTTTACTTGGGCAGTCCAAAACAAATTTTCGTGGAAACGAACACCAAGACATTTACAAAATTTTACGCGTTTAATAATGGAGTTTTGAAAGAATATTTTAGTTGTGTTAGTAATGGGTTTGTTTTTTGCTCTAAAAATGATATACTTACTTTTTGACGTATTTAGTTCTAACTGATTTGCAACTAACCACAAGTGAAGTAGGTCCAATCAAGTGGTTGTATGTGTCTTTAAAGTATATAAGCAATTACCGGTGAAAAAAACATTCGTGTCATCTGCGTATAATACCCGTGACACATGGGCAAACCGAATGCCATTTACAACGAATGACATTTGAGCGGACGGCCAATCAGCGCGCGACACTCCGGGCGTAGCTCATTCCACGCGCGACAGATTACGAGCTGACTAGCCTATCACACAAATGTCATTTGTTGCAAATGACATTCGAGTTGCCCGTGTGGCACGGGTATTAAGTTATGTCAGGAGTTTCTGGTATGTTTATAACGTCATTAACGTAAAGAAGGAAAAGTAGAGGCCCTAAAATTGATCCCTGCGGTACACCATACTGAATTTTTGCTAGAAGAGCTTGGTTCATGCTTTCTTGAGTCTTCAATTGGGTTTTAACACTCCCGTTTTGGATTAAATCCCGAGAATAAGGGAACGTTGGGCATACGCACACTTGATAAACTAGAATCTCAAAATGTTCACATTGAATGACTTCCAAGGAGACTTCTCGGGTCTGCATACGCTGTTACTCCGCAATAAGCAGGCTCCCTTGGGATGACAAGAAAACCCCAGCGCCCTGAACGCTGTTCGAACCAGCACTCGTAAGAGTTGAAAAACCTGTCAAGCGCTCACTTCCGGAACAATCCGCTTACTTCTGGTGGCTTCAAACTTGTCTGCTCAATGCGCCATCCAGCCCCCTATAGTAGAGATCAGTGGTGCACATTTCGCTGCACACAGTTGCACTGTCGTGTTTAAATTTAGTAAATTTAAAGGGCCAGTGAAACAAATAATTTTTTTTTTAACAGTTTGATTGAAACACGCATGTCAAAAAATAAATTTTACGCAAAAAAAAAAAGAGCAATATTGACGGCGTCAGACGCAATTTAGTCGGTAGCCACCTCCTTTCCCCTTGTTTTCACTCTCGGCATTTCGGGTGCTTGGAGGAGAGGTACGCCCCGCCTCTTCGGAGTGGATCGGCTTGCTCGTTCACGTTGAGGGGGAGAGAGTGTATGGCCATCTCGTTGATGTTGAAAGAGTGCATGACCATTCCGTGACGTCATGAACTTTGCGCGCATAATTCAGACGCAACTAAAATAAATCTTGCGCCGTCATTATTGCTCTCTTTTTTTCGCGTAAAATTCAGTTTTTGCCAGGCGTGTTCCAACCAAGTTTAAATTTTTTTTTATTTAAGTGGCTTTTTAAGTTTCGTTAAAATCAGCGGACGGTGCTCGTGTGCACTCTAAAAAAAATCCGGTCCTAAAACGTCCTTTGACGCCCCAAGAACTCTTTCAGCTCGTGAAGAACGGTTTCGCCTCAAGCACTATCCCCCCCTGGCGCACTGGAACTGCAACTGGGCGATGAAGAACTCTTTCGCATAAAGAAGAAGCTTAAAAGAACCCCTTATAGGTTTTTTACGAAAAATGCATTAGGGGGTGCTTAAAATAACTTTTTTAGGGTGAAAAATAGGGGCACGCCGCAGAATCCTTTTTTAACTCCTTTTTTGAAGTGAAAGAGTTCTTCATCAACCAGTGGCCGTTCTAGCGCGCCAGGGGGAAATTGTGCTTGAGGAAAAACCGTTCTTCACGAACTAAACGAGTTTTTGGGGCGTCAAGGGACGTTTCAAGACCGGATTTCTTTTAGAGTACGACACTGGCGTCACTGATATGTCGTCCCCATGTAGTCGCATCGCAGCGTCACGAGGCGACGTGGCGTCACATGACATTGTCTCGTCACCCGACACTAAATGTGTGCCAAGTTTAGCGTGAACTGTCACGTGGCACTAGATTGCCGTTCAATTTGGTGAAGTAATTTTCTCGTTGAATTTAGCAAGAAAATCTCGCAAAATTTAGCGGAAGTTCAGTGTCGCACGACGCCATGTGTCACGTGATTGTGACGTCACCTTGTAGTCACGTGACTATACGTCACGTGCCCGTGTCACGTGTCGTCGTTGGTCTGGTGAGGAGACGCAGTGTACAGGCAGTTTTAGTGACAAACTTCCAGTTCTCAAAAAACGAGATCAAGGCAAAAAAGAGCGATGTCTTGTTTTTTGTCACGTTCTGTTAGGTAGTTCAATTATAGGTTTAAAGTGTGTCCTTTTTTTTTATACATACGAGGTTATAAGAATGACCCCTCTAAAATGTAGTGAAGAGCAATCTTTTGACACTAATACCCCTGCAGCGTCGGTAAAAGCTGACGCGAAGCAAAAGACCCACTGATGCCATTGGTCCTGATGTACTCCTCCGCCTGGTAATCGGGGTCATCGGGGTCATTGCACCTTTTCCATTCCCTGAAGGCTTCGCAGGTCACGTTTTCGTGCTCCCGTCGCCACTGCAAGTGAACAAAGAAGGCCGGCCTCGGGAACTTTACCAGCCTGCGTGTACGCCGTTAAAGAGTTCTAAGATATCGTATCGATACCGCCGATACCCTATAACAATGACTTTTAGGGAATCGATTTTGCATATCCGATACGCTCTGCGCATATGCGAGTGTTCAGCGCATGCGCAGTTCGTACCCGAGGCCCCACCATAGTGTATCAAATGTGCAAAAACGGTTCCCCCTAACGATTCGCTGCATGCGCAAGATCGGCGCCCGAATATCGGGTGTCGTTGTCGGAGTCATAGGAACGATCTTACTAAAACTCTCTACTTACATATCAACGATACACCCTAAGAAAAAAAGGGGCGTAGTCGGGTGCATCAGGCGCACATGCACCCTTTTCTGAAAGATGCATCCTCCGTTACCCAGCCAGTGTACTTTTAAGCGCGAAACACATGTACGACGAAACCGTCCGATCCGACGAGCGTGCTGCCGGAATGACCGGGGGGGGGGGGGGGGGGGGGGGGGGGGGGGGCGAGGGTTTTCGTAGCACCGGAGAGAGTTGAAAACCCTCGCCTCTGACCGTCGTATTGCCTGATCGGACGTCGAATCGGACGGTTTCGTCGTACATCTGTTTCGCGCTTTACACCGACATTGAGCATCATCCCTTCCCTTAAAAACCTCTAGGTGTATCAGTGCACCGCCACGCTAGCCACGCGCCCCGATCAGCTTGTCCTTGGATTCCTCCTTGGGGGTCACTTGTGGGTTGTGCAGTTTCTCAGCAAGTATGGAGCTGTCCTGTTCATTCGGTATTGACAGTAGAGTAGACGCTATGCTTGTTTTAGGCCAATCGGGTCTCCGGGTAGTATCACGTGACTATAGTCTCCAAGCTAGAGATAAGGCAGAGCACGGCACCTGCCAGAAGGCCAAGGCCACGGATAGCATCTGCTGCACTTTGGGTCGAGCCCCGTTGCGTTCATTGTTGGGATGCGCCAGAAGATAAGCCTTTGCGAGGGCACCCCCCTGTTGGCCTTGAAGGAGCTGCTATTTTCCTACGTCTGCCTTTTTCTCTCTCTCTCTAAGCTGAAAGCATGGAAGGTGTGCAGTCACCAGACCAATGAACCAGAAGCTTTTTTTTATTATTTGACTCCGCTGTCTGGGCGCGGGTAAAGGCCCAACCTCTTAAAACTGGGTTCATTGAAACCTCTTGCGAGAGGACACACTGGCGCCGTCTATTGGGTAGCAGTGTAAACTTGGCGGTCCGGCATTTTTTTCTATTTCTCTCGCACATTATCGTTCCTTTCTTGGCTCGAAAAACTTTTGTCAACGTTATAAACGAGCATTTCTTATAGGTATTACGCACATTTGACCTCGGAAATAGCGCAAAACATATGCTCTTGTGAAATGCAGGTCCAGGGTCACCCCATAGATGGCGCCAGCGTGCCAGTGTGTTCTGACGTCCTAAGAAATTTTAAGAGGTTTTAAAGGGATACTGAACCGAAATTTGAATTTCGCGAAATAACGCTCTAGAAGCGTTAAAAGGACCATACGAACTCTAAAACATTACTCGTACACCGATATCTCAAACGGATCGCCGCACTTTTGGAAAAGAAGGGCACGATCAAGCGAGGTCTTTGACATCACTGTCCTCCGGGAGAATTTGAGAATGAGGGGAAGAAGCCTCGCTTCTCTCCTCCTCGCTTCAGTTCACCAGCTTGACACGGGACGTAGCGAGGAGGAGAGGGAATAAGAATCGTGACGTGCCTTGTCTCGTCGGCCTCCTTGGCCGGGCACTTCTTTTCTAAAATTATGGCGATCCGCTTGAGATATCGCTGTATGAGTGATGTTTTTGGGTTTTGCACCGTCCCGCTTATCTGTCCAGCCTTGTTTTGCGAGTTCAAAATTTCGGTTCAGTATCCCTTTAAGAAGTATTGTCTCTCTCGGTCGTACTCGGTTGCAAGAGTGTGAAAGGGCCGTAACGACAGGAGCGTGATCATGTGGCAAAGGTTTCACGGATGAAGTAGTAGCTCTTTCCGATCCCGGAATGTCTGATTCCCGGCATAGTTTCTTGTGAGCTGTGCTGCGACCAGCGGGTCTGCCGGACATTTCGTCCGCAAAAACGTATTCGAGTGTATACCAAGGCTTCCAGTGTTTGAAAAATCCTACGTGTATATCGGCAACACGCGATTTCTTCAAAAAAACCACAGGAATTCATGTGATGCGTTTTGTGTTCGGTTCGGCAAATTACTGCTTCGGCCACATCGTGTTGAATTTTCACAGACCCCTTTCTTTTCGTTTTTGTGTTTGTGTGGTTGTTCCTGCAGTGCCCGTGTCGACATATATTTCGGATTATATATTTCAAGTCCGGTATTTTCATCGTAAGTGCGCTGCAACCTATTCCTTTGCAACGATTGAGCATTCCGTTCCGGACTACCTCTAGAATTAGGCAGTGTCTATTTCCTAGCAGCCGGAAAAATTATTTCCCCAAAATTCTATCGGCAGTCGCGTATCATTGGCTGTCTACAATCATGTGACAACTGCAGGTAGAATACCGACTCTCTTATTCTCCTGGCGTTTTGTAAAAACACGTTTCATTGACACCTTTTCGTTGATACACGTTTTGCAGACACGTTTCGTCGACACTAACGTTTCATCGTCACTCGTTACGCAAAATGCACGCTGTAGGGACATTTCGTCGCGCGTGTATCTCTGAGGCGCGTGCTCACCGACCCAGCCCACCCGTTCACGCCGCTTCGTGGCGACAGTCTGCGGTGGCCCATTACAAAAATATTAACCCACCTGCCCCACACGTCACTTCGCGGATTCAGTCTGGAGCGGCTCATTACAAGAAAAAAAAAGAAGCTAATATAGGAGAGCTATCTGAGCTGTCTATGAAACATGGCGTGTTGATGAAACGTCGTTCGATGAAGTGATTGTACCACCAGTGAGTGGCGACTGTCGGGGGAATTTCGGGGAAATAATTCTGCCGGCTGCTGGGAAAAAAGACACTACTTAAGACTCACCCCGGTTCTTGTTTGCTAAGTAATATTCTCAGTTGTGCAACAGCTTCTTTGTACCTCTTCACATATCACGGATTGCTTGCAAGTTTGAACTTGTTTACGGAATAAGTTGTCTAATAAACTTCTAGAAGATTTGAAAACAATCCCGTGTGTCCGTTTACCTGCCTTTTTTCTATCACCGGGGCGCATACATTTTTTTAGGGTTTCCTCGATGTCTTAAATAGGTTTATGAAATTAGTTATGAAGCGGGTGCATAAAGCGGTTTGACCTTAGAATGGGGTGACCTTAGAATGGGGTGCATCTGTGTTCCCTTCGAATTCATTGGGCGTAGAAAGAGGTGTAGCCGGACACCATTGAATGGGGTGCACGCGTGTTCCCTTCGAGCGAGATTTGTGTAGAAAAAGGTGTACATGTGCACCGCACCAACGGGTGTACATATACTCCCATCTTTGGCGTGTAGTATATGTGACAAGCACCTACACCCCATATGGGGATGTAGATGCTTGTCACATATACTACACCATTACACCCTTTTTTTTTTTAGAGTGTACGGTGATGTCTCGAGAGTATATGGACCACGTTATGCAGACAATATTCAAGGACAACTGCGCAAATACATGCATTTTTTGTCCGGTTATTATGAACATATCGCGTTATGAACGACTTTTGGAGAGAACGGCGGTGTTCATATTAACGAGACATGGCTGTTCATAAAACAAACGCAGGTTCTTGATTTAAAAAAAAAAAAAAATTGTAAAGTCAAGCAAAATAATTATATCTGAAGTCGTTGACTGAGTAACGGAGCACGTGGAGCGGGCGGTTCATGCTGCTGAACCCAGGGAATTTGAGTTTTCTACTTCGTTTGACGTTCCCCTGTCTCGAGACCAGGGCCCGTTTGCTGGCGGCAAAAACTGCCCCATGAGAAACTTTGAGGTCACATGACCTCTAAATCCTTCTAGCGGCTTCCGTTCTAAAATCTAGCGGCCCAGTCGATTCCGCTCAGCAGAGGTAATGCGTTATTGCCTCTCGAATTCTTTAATTCTCGCTTAACACGACCTTCCCCACAAATAACTTCACACGCCTCTCCTAACGTACACGAATCCGATTCATGGCACTTACATTTCAACACTGTTCATCCTCTTTCTGGGCGAAAAAAATCAGGCTCGAATAATCGAAGCGTAGACGAACTACTGTAGCCATTTGCCTGCAACGCTAGCTACCCTCCCGTGCCGGTCATGCGAGCTCAAATTCCCCCGGGTGAGACACCCGAATTCACCGCAGGGAACACGGGTGCACCCCAGACCGATCTTTCGCTGTCTGAACATTCACAGCGTCCAATTTGGTATGCGCTTGGGATTAGAGATAAGATTTATTAGATATACTTTAGGATTTATTCAATATACGGCTATAGACAAATAGGCGACAATAGGGAGTTTTAGTAGACCGTGTTTCCCCCTCCGCTAACCCTCCGCTACGAAGAAACCGCCACTGCGCCTGCGCGCCGATGGCCTTGGCTGTAGAGTTCTGGGTAGCGGAGGGGCTTAGCGGAGCGGGAAACACGGTCTACTAAAACTCTCTATTGACGTCATGCCGCCGCGTTAGCTCTACCGTCGGAGCCTGCGCAGGCGCTTCACGCGAATCTGGTTTCTGTGCATGCGCACTCCTGGTGGGGGGTCTATTTGTAAACAGCGCATTCGCCTTAAGGAATCTGTCCCAACTTTTTAGCTGTGAACAAAGCGTTCGTTTTATTCTCGGCCACGGCCACACAACGAGGCGGCTATGTTTCCTATGTGACATCATTGATATTGCCTGCTGGGGTCCTTCCCCTTTTCCACTTTCTTTTACGGCGCTTTATATGGGAACCCTTGATTGTAGTGCTTTTGACCGCACAATAGCAAGGCCATGAGAGGGGCATAGAGAGAGATAGAACCTTATTCAAACCGCTTATCCTTCCAATCAGCGTGATTACAACTTACAAAACAAGATGTATTTTGGCCGTACGGAGAAAGTCGAGAAACACCGATTGCACAGCAGAATGGCGTGTAACGTATCTCCCTATATTCATTTTGATCATAATATTTATAAGAATAAACTAGAGGAACTTACTAAAGTTAAATCTATCGGCCATTTTGCGGTTTTGGATGACGATCTTCCGTAAAGCTTCGCTCATTTCATGGAAACCACTGTATTGCGTCAAAACTGGCTCTAAATAAACGTGAACTCTTTGGCACCCCTCCCTTTTTACGATAACCTTGGGGCCAGAAATCTCAACATTAATAAACAAGGTCTCACGACTATTGGTACAGACAGCACAATGTTTTCTCGTGGCTGGCTAAACGCGAAATGGGGTTTAAAAACAAAGTGTATAGTTGCCCATAGCCACTTGCTGTGTATATGAAGCAGTTAATAAAGGTTTCATATAAACAGTGCAAGCTTATTTATTTGTCGAGTCACGTCCCCTCCGAGCCGAATAGCGAGGCATGATTCCCTAAGCTGGGGCATATATACTTGCGAGTGAAACTCCCTAATAAAGGGGGATTTCGAGCGATTTTTTTTGCCACTGATTGGTCGGTTTAATTTACTTAATAATAGGAATAACTAATTATTCGACGCACACAGATAAAAAGGTGCTTACCGGCGAGCTGCAGCTGTTGCACATCACGAGGCCACACTCTGGACATTGGACTTTTTGTAGCCCGGGATCTGTGAGGAAGCCATATTCGCACTGGGGAGACGAGGATGTGGGGACCGTGGAATGGGAGGATTAGTAAGGTTCCAAATGCACGGCTCACTGCTCATGACGTGAGATCATTATCTGCGGGTGCACGCCTCAAGTTTGTTCGAAGATTGTCTTCTGTATACATTTGTATGCTATGAAGATGAGTGCAGAGTGCCTTTGGTACGCTACCCTTCCGAAAGCCGCGTGCCAATTGCCACAAGGTCGGAACTACAATGCACAACGGCGGAACACACCGCAGAAGGTGCAAGTTCTTACATGCGTCTGACTGCATAGCCGGCGCTAGAGACTGACGAGCGCACAGAAATCACAATCTCAATGCGTTCGTCGTTTTTTTTTTTTTCTAGAGGCCAAACGCAAAAAAGCACTAATGACTATTAAAAAGGTGTATTGTGACACTACGGGTTTGCGGCTTTTGTTTCCGCCATTGTGCAAGGATTGCGCAGCTTCTAACGGAGGGCAGCTACTTTCAAAAATTAAAACGCGTAACCGCGTTTTTTTTTTTTTCTTTTTTTTTTTTTTGCGCGCGGTTATATTTTCACGAATTAAGGCGACGAGAAGGCGAACAATGAACTGAAAAGAAAGGTTTAATGGGCGAACTTGTGCCAACCAAAGATAAGTAACGAAAGAGCGTCGAAGCAGCAGAAAACCAGGCGGCGATTCGGCGGCGAATCAGAGAGCGCCAGCGAGACTGAGACTGACTCGACAAGGTCGCGGGCAGCTGCTTATCTACCGTGCGTCACTATCTCGAAAGTTCGGCAAAGAAGGTTCGAGCGTCGCGCGCTCGAGGCGAGGATGAACTGGCACTTTCGAGAATAACAAGGCAGAGGGAATGTTAGGTCCGCTGCGAGAATGACCGGGAATCCTCTAGAAGACCGTGACCAAGCGTTGCCTTCTCGGCTCTGCGGGCGGCAATATACAAGGTTGTTCGTTTTCGAGTTTTTATTTTTTTTTTTATTCGGGAGGGGGGGGGGGGAGGGGGGGGGGGTAAAAATCTGGTGCTATTTTTCAAGCTGATAATCGGGGAGAAATCGGATTTTTGTAGAAACATTCCGAAATACGGGTTTTTTCGGGGTAAATATAGAAATGTACTCAATAATACATTTTTTTTTAATTAGTGGGTATCACAAGTTTTTATAACCTGACGCGTTAAAACTGGAGGTCTGTTTCATGCTGGTTATTGGGGGGACATCAGGGTTTTCCAGCTCCGATTGCCGTCATTCGCTTCAAAGGAAGCACCGCCCACGGAATCCTCCTCTCTCTCAGGTGTCAACAAAAACCCCGACCATTCGAGGGACGGTCGTCTTCGATCAGATATTTCGCTATGGAATAAACCTGTTAAGTTTTCCCGATCTGTTTCCCCGAACGCTGTTCGTGAGAAAGGTTGCACGCCAGCGCGATGGGCATGCTACCCGAGAGACCAGGCTGGGCGTCGACACCTAACAGCGGTCGAACGGGGATTGATAGTGCAATTCACAAGCTGCGTGCAGCATTGCCTAGGCTACGTGGCGTGTCGAGGCGGTTCCACCTGCACAGCGGAGGAACGGAAATGTCCCTTTGAGGCCCCAACGCCTACTGTCGCTTTTCCTCGGCGGTCTTACGTAAAATGTCACGGTGAGTTAGGCGCGCTCGTTGGGCGGTTGGTCGAGAGTCGCTTAGCGTCTACAGTGCTGCACGCAGCTTGCGAAATGAACTCTAGGTCACTGTTGTCCCGATGTAGGCTAGCTAGCGTGTGTGCACCGCAAACTCCGTACGGCGCAAAAAATAAATAGGTTGGTTATGTGGTTTTGGAATTCGGGGAGAAATCGGGTTAACCCGATTCTCCCGAGACATGTTCGGGGTGTAAAAATCGGGTTTTACCCGAAAACGAACAACCCTATCGTTTGTGTATTCGCGGGAGGATTCGCGCGGGCGGAAAGCGGATTTTTTAGAGCTTGGTGGCGAAATAGACTCGTCGCTGGCGGAAAACCTGAATATATGGGTACACGGGCATGATCCAGACTTTTTTTTTCCGCCAGCGACGAGTCGATTTTGTCACCCGGCTTTAAAAAATCTGCTTTCCGCCCGCGCGCATCCCCCCGCGACAACGCGAGTTCATAAACGCGCCGTCAGAGACGACGATCTATTCTTTCTTTGTAGGCGAGCATGTGAGGCCTCGGTCATCACTCCAAACATCTTTCGAGGAAATACAAAAAAAAACAGTCTCCAGACGTTGGCTGGGTAGTGTTTCTTCCTTCTATGGCGGTCAGATTGGTCACACGAAAAACCGATCTTGGGACATAGATGTTCCACGGGTACCCTAGTATAAAGAGAACACACTTCGAACAGCTTAGGCGTGCGTCGCAGTTAAGCCATCATATCTGCGGCGGATATCATTGTCTGTTGTTAGATTTTTGTTTTGTTTAATAGTGGATGTTGTTATAAAGTACATCACGGACTGTTGTCTAACCTTGCGCGGTACTTTCTCCTTACCAGGAATGTTAACGAGTTATTTTTATTAATACTATATACACAATCGGAGTGATCCATCCTATAATATTGACACGTAGAAAATCTCCGCAATAACCTTATCCTCTGCTCATATTAGGGACTTCTAGAAAATCGTTACCGTTTTCCGCGTATACCGCACTACCACAGCTTAATTTAAGTCTGCTTTTGAGCGCGCGCTCCCGAGTGATACCCTGACTGCGGAACGCCCGCGCTTAAAAGCATGCTTCAAACGCTCTGGTGTATTGTGGTATACACAGAACACGGTAACGGTTTCCTAAACGGCCCTCAACACTAATGTTTAAAGATGAAAATATATTCGTGACGGCGCCCACGAGAAAACCGGGGAACGCAGGGCGTGTATACTCAACGCGTGTATACGTTTTTTCGTGGCTCTAGTATAGTGTTGGCTGTAACGTGTTACTAGTAAAGGCGTTACGGATGTTCAGCCGTTACCTATTTTGAGTAAAGACGAACGTACTTACGTTACTCGTTACATATTCTCAAAACTTAAAAATAAAAAATACTGCTTTTTCTTCTAGGCGTTAAGCTTTATGAAGTATTGTGTCTTTCTTCGCGTATATCTTCGTGAGTATTCAGGTCGAACCGTAAAAATATACAAGGTAATCATGTTAAGTTTCTGCACGTGCATAATGTTTCTTCAAATATGGCGCGCTTATGCACACCTCTAACGTCGAAACATTACCCTAGTAAAAAAAAATCATTTGTATAAGAAATTTCTTGTGTCCAATAAACACATATGAATCATACAAGATATATAAGAACATATAAGAACCATATAAGAATTATATGAGAACTATATAAGAATTATATAAGATATATAAGAGCCCCACAAAAAACTTATAAGAAACTTCCCACTAGTTTCTTATATGGTGCTTGTATGTTCCCATATATCTTATATAGCTATTATATAGTTTTTATATGGTTCTTATACGGTTCTTATATGTTCTTATATATCTTGTATGATTCATATGTGTTTATTGGACACAGAAATTTCTCATACAAATGAGAATTTTCAATAGGGTAGTTTCACAAATAAAAGCAACGCGAAAGTAACGCGCGTTACTTTTTAGACGCAACCGTAACCAATTCCTTTTATTTTAATGTAACTAGATGGGTAACGCGTTCTCTTTATTCGCAAGTAACGAGTCACCCATTTCGTTACCTTTGTTTTTCGGTAACGCCAACAATACTCTCCCAACGCCGGGCATGATGGCATACACACTAGGGATGCCGCGAACTTTTTTCGAATCGAAGTTTCGATGATCGAATCAAGCGGTTCAAAATGTTCGAAAGATTTCGATTTTTCGAATTTTCTACATCGAAAAATTCGACCGAAGTCGAATTTTCGAACTTGCTGAGCTAAGAAGTTCGACGCTTTTCGAACCTTCGACCTTATTACGCTAAGAAATTCGATCTTTTTCGAACTTTCGAACTTATTGCGCAGCAAAGTGCGATGCTTGTCGAACTATCGAACTTGACTGACCAACAAATTCGATGAATTTCGAACTTTCGACCTTATTTATCAAGAAAATTCGAAAAGTTTCGAACTTTCGAATCCTGAAAAGTCAGAATATCGACGAACTTCGAACTTTTAGGGTAAAAGTTCGACGCTCGTCGAACTTCGAAAGACCAGCGGACGGTTTCATATGAATTCAAGTAGTGAGGTACATTCGTAGTTTTGTTTTTCTCGAACTTTTACACGCGGTGCTGCGTTCCTTACGAAAGACAATGGCGTTTGTTTCAATGTTCTGGCATGCTTAGTTTTAAAGAAATAAATTTCTGAAGGGGCGAAAAAGGACGACGGGTTTTTGATGATTATCGTTTGTGCCAGATTTGAAGCGCGCTGTAGCCGAAGCTATGTGTGGTAGAGATGTTATACTTTTTTTAAGGATGATCTATGTATAGCCTAGGTAAGTGTGTACACTCCGGCGGCGAATTCTTGATAGTTTTTTTTTTTTTTTTTCTCCAGCTTTTTATCCCCGCATTTATTCTTTTTTTTTTTTTTTTCCTATTGACACAGGTATTTAGGTCGAAAAGACATAGCTTTGAACTTCCGAACCACTAAGCATGTGACGAGTAGTGCCTTCTGACAACGAGTTTCTAACAATGACCATCTACGCAATCTTTTATGCAGTGAAGAGCGACAGTAGCTATACATAATATGCATAAATAATTTCAGATTAAAATAAGCTCGACCACGCCCTCTTTCCCCTTATTGTTTTCTTTAACAGTCCGAAATATCTGGAAGGGGGGGAAGGAAACTGAAACCGCCCTCGCCCCCCCCCCCCCCCCCCCCCCCCCCCCCGCTACCCTCTTTTTCCCCGTTTTTCCTCTTCCGACGCCACTTGTATGGTAGAACGCTCCTCGACCTCGAGTTGTGTCGGCTTTTTGCGAGGCGATTCCTCCGTCCCAGAAAATAAACCTCCAGGACAATTACAAACTTAAAGTGCAGACCGCATGGTGCGTTTTTGCTCGCGATTCAGGCGCGTCGGCGTCAAACTGACGTCATTTCCTGCGCGCGGGCGCGCGTTTTCGCGGGAGCGTTGGTTTCTAGCCGACCCAGAAAAAGACGCGCGCGCCGAGGCGTCGAAGTGGCTCTCGCCCAATGAGGGTTGGTCGAACTATCACGTGATTTTGCGCCGTACGCTGTTTCGTATTCAGCACATTTCAAAGTGTTCAAAAGTAGTTTTATTTTCCATATAAAAGTTAAAAAGTGTTTCTTTCGACACACAAACCCGTTTTATTTACTTATTGGTTCATTTAATTCTCATTTTGTAGTATTTGTGTCAACATTTACATCGCGTGTGGAGAATCGTTATCTGGCAACGCTGATAGCGCGCGGCCGGCGGTGCTTGGCTTTGTCTGCATGCGGGTGCCCCCGCGTCAGCTTTCGCGCGAGCATTCATAGCGCGTCGCGTTTTCGCGTGCCGAAAAATGCGCCATGCGGTCTGCGCTTAACTTACTATATGCCAGCGTCACTCGGGCGGCGTTCGATCGGATTACTATCAGCGTGCAAGGGGTGGCGAGGTAGTTTACCAGGTCGCTTCAAGGTTTTTCTGAGCCTCAACCTCCTGCTCGTCCCTGGCCGTTTCGAACTGGATGAGTCTCGTAAAACAGTGTGTTCGTGTGATCACTACTGCGTGATGCAGGTTAAAGACTCCCCCCCCCCCCCCCCCTCTCCACCCCGGGCTGGCGGTCACGATTACTGATCCATGGTCACACGTCACTCTGCACTGGCAAATATTCTAGCACGTCCGGGACACTCGTCGTCTCATTTAATTGCCTGACCAACTTCGCAGAATCTAGATATCACACCCTAACTTTTCTAAACTTGATTTTGTGAAAACCAGTGAGTCGTGAAAACGTTATTTGAAACAAACTGTGGAGGAACTTGAAAACCGGACTTCGAACTTTGAAAACTTGGACTAGAAAAAAATTCAAAATCTTCGAAGTTTTTTTTCGAATTTAGCGTTAAAAGAAAATCGAAACCTTCGAACTTTTCGAACTTTATGCAGAAAGAAATTCGAAATCTTCGAATTGTTCGAACTTTATGTCTATAAAAATTCGAAGCGTTCGAAGTTGTCGAATTTTGTTTCCAAAGAATTTCGAAATCTTCGAATTTATCGAACCTGAAGTAAAAAAATATTCGAAATATTCGAACCCGAAATTTTAGAAACCGTGAAAGCTTCGAACTTTTCGAATTCGATACTGCACTGTGATCGAAAGTGGCGAATTTTTTTAATTCGAACCTTGATCGGTACGAAAATATCGAAATTTTTCGAAATCGAACCTCAGTTCGCTTCGCAAATATCGAAACCTTTCGAAATCGAACTTGGGGTGGTTCGCGACATCCCTAATACACACCTTAGAGGCTGAGCATCGCCTGAAATCGGGATCGTCTTCGAGGCAGCGTTCTAAGGTTGACCTGTTCAGCCCTTCCCACTCGTCCCTGGTCAGCAATGGCTTGAGCTGTCAGTCAAGGGACAATTGAGCTCCGTCACTTTCTCCGTAAGCACTCGCCCTAGAAAGACAGCTACAGGGGATCTTTGGGGCTCGGTTTCCACAGTCCTACCTTGTTCAACGTTTCATGGCGGTCGAGTTCACTGGGGCACTGGAAGCATGCCCACGTTCGACCTCTCTGGCTTAGTGTTGCTAAATGTCGTGCCACGCAAGTTATGCAGGCTTTATGCTGACAGGGCTCAAAGCACGCCATCTGGAGGAGAAAAAAAAACTATGTTTATATTAAATTGATAGCATGTGGTGAAAGCTACGGGCTCGCCAGACCAATCAAGCGGCTTCCCTTCACCACGCGACTCGGTTCCCTGCGCGTGGTGACGAAACGTGGTGGCGTGACGAAAGAAAGACGTACGAGCACGTTGCTCCCGCCCCTCAGTCAACTTTTGAAGTTGAATGAAATGTTCGCGGTGAAACCACGCTAAGGGGCGCCACTGAGCAGCACGTGCATGTCCCGTGGCACCCAGAATGTGAGGATGCCGCGTTCGTTTACATCGCGCAAGCTACAGCGATACGGCGTGATCGGTTGCTTTCGGACGCGGCGCGGTGGTTCGTTATTGTTCTCTCACCACAGGCACAACACACGCGACCGAAAAAGGTGTTCGTGTTCATCTACTGGCGGCTCGAGCGAAATCGACGCCGAGTAGCGGCCACGCCGAGAAGCTCAAGGGAGGAGATCGTTTCGACACTGTCGTCTGCTATCGCTGCTTGGTTCTCGTAGGCAGCGTAGAAAGAAACATCGTTTCCAGTCATTTATTTTGGGCTTCCACCGTGTCATTGCTATACGCACTGACTAGAAGAAGGTTAAAGGTTTTTAATGTTGTAAATTCGCTTCGCTTTTATATGGAACACCAATTTTACGCTGTAATGCAAGAAATTTATGGTGCACGGTCCGCGTGCTGAACAACGAAAACGACCTCCTCTCGTCCACCATTTTGCCTGACCAGCGTGCCCCGCTTAGTTCGCTGGAGTTGCGAATAGTCAAGAGTAACACAACTGGGAAGTACAGATATGAGGTTAAAACACGGCGAAAAGGTGTGGGCGTGCGAGATGGTACGCTCGAACCCAATGGCGTAGCCCAGAAAGGGGTTATTGTCGCGAAAGCGGTCAGAGAGACGGAAACGCTTGTAGACGATCACCGTTTTCGGCACTTCCTCACAGCTCGCATCGCAAACATAGCCCATACATCACGTGACCTCGATTGCGCGGTTGGAAACACTCTAAAATCTGGGCACACCAATCGATTCGCGTTCGCGTCTCCCGTTCAACAGATCTTACTACTGCATACATTCTACAACGTCAAACTGCAACGATCTGTTAGTCGTCCCACCCTTGCGAAACCACGAACACTCGCGAGACAGTTGGAATGCACACGACGCAGACTTACGTTTTCTTCCGAACATTCGCCCGAGCAGAGGGCACACTCTTCGAAGGTGGTTCCCCTTAGGTAATCCAACGCTGACGCGATCGACCTGTGGTCTGCGTTGACGGCGCACACGGACCTATCCTCAGAAAAGCCCATCTGGACAAGCAGTGCCGCCAGTGTGGCGTCAACGCGGCTGGCACATCGTCTTTCGCTCCTCAGTTTCTCGGCGTGTTCCTGGACAAAACGACGCCGATTCGAGCGACAGTCACACGGTATACGTTATCTCCAAAAACGCGGCGATCCAACATCACACGCAGCCCCTGACAGAGTGCGAACGGAAGGGCGTGTATTTCGAACGCCCGGCGTGCAGCACGTGCTCCATGCCTTCCACCGTGCTTTGGCTGCGAGCTCGAGGGGCGCAATACGCTGAAGTACCGTCGAAGACAGGAAACTCGCCCTGCAGCTGACGGGACAACTGAAGCCCATCTTTGTCGTTCTCACCTTGCGAGGGGCTATGGAATAATCAAAGCCTGTGAACTATGCAATTATGACGTCATCCTGCAGTGAGATCCAACGAAGACACATGATTGGACACGAGCGCAGCGTCGGCGTTCGGCTGAGCGTCATGTCCAATCAGCGCGTCGAAGGACGCTCAGCACCGGGTTCGGGCCCACTTGCTGAGTTGGCACCGTCCCGCTGTGCCGACGTTTCCACGGAGGAAGAGGGGGGTATTCGCGGGCCTCGGTTACTCCAGGCGGTGTTGGCTGAACCGGGCATCGTAGAATCTGGACAGATCACCGCGCCTGAGCCGGTCCTTACCTTAATCAGCCTGGTCATTTTGGCGTAGGCAGCCTGGACAGAGACGTAGGGTACAATTAGCAACATGGTGATTAAAACCGCGAAATAAACGCAGTATTAAAGAGAGCTTGATGAACGCGGATCCGCCTTTACGACTACGACAGAATCCAACAAAACGGGATTTTAAGCCGCTTACGACCCCCATTGCTGCTGCGCGGCACGGTAGTAATGAGCCGTCACAAGAGGCTTAAAAACCGGTCTCGTCGGACTCGGTCGCAGTCGGTTGCAACAGCGTGAACCAGTCTTTAAAACGCCGTTCACACATATGCAGCCGAGTACGACCGAGAGAGACCAGACAGGTCTTTAAGCCTCTTGCGACTTCTTAGGACCAGCTCCGCTGCAGCGCATCCGGTCCTAAGACGTCGCAAGAGGCTTAAAACCCGGTTCGGTCTCTCGCGATCTTACTCGGTTGCATATGTATGAACGGGCCTTAAGGCCCGCTCACACACCGACTGCTTACGACCGGAGAGGCTAAAAACCACTTGGAAGCCTTTCGTAGCGGCCCCTGCAGCAGCGCAGCAGCGCAGCTGGTCGCAAGCCGTCGTAAGAGACTTAAAAACCCGTCGTGTCGCAGTAGGTTTTGGTCGAACGCGAGTGTGTGAACGGGCCTTTTATGCCGACGGCAGAGCGACTTCGATTTCCATTCGTTTGTTGTTTGTCGTTTAGCAATGAACCTTCGACTAGAAGAGTTCTCCGTATACCGTACCACAGGTCATAATAGACTCTTTTCGAAATTTCGAAATGATGCATAGATTATGTGCGGCCGCCATTAGTTGGTCGTGCGCAGTGAGCACGCACTGGGCACGAGCGCTTCGTCAGCATTCAGAGGATACTCAGCTTGAAACGCATTCCACACGAGTGCAGCTTCAGTGCTCGGCGGGAGCTTGGAACCAATCATGGGCCTCACGCCGGAAGCGATAGGAGACCAACTAATGGCGGTTGCGCATAATCTATGCATAATTTCACAATTTCAAAAATGGTCCATAAGATTCTTCGGATCGTGCATGATGCATCAATGCAGTGGCGTCACGAGGGTCAGCGGCACCCGGGGCAACCCGCCCCCCCCCCCCCCCCCCCCGCCGCGACACCCCCCTCTTTGTGACGCCACTGCATCAAAGAAATCTGTTCCTGTTGCCACCAAAGAGCGTGCGGTAATCAGTAGCAACAAATATTAGCACCGAATCTGTTTACGTCTGCACCTATCCGCTTCCGCACTCCTGAAATGAAAAGACCGTCGCACGAGTAAGGCGTCGAGTTCGGCTAGTATAGTTCGTGTGTCCTAACTGATTGGGCACGAGCTCTAGGCGAACGCTGACGTAAAATAGGTTTTTGGTTTAGGCCCCGCGTTCTTGTCTCTGGAGTGCCCTACGGAGGATCCAGCGCGGCTTTGCTAAGGCCGCTTAACACATCGCCGTTTGTCCACGTTACACTGGCTATGCTCCGAATTTTGCTCGAGGAGATCCGAGTTCCTCCCGCAGGATCGCGTCATCAAACATAGAGCTGTGCTTGAGTCCGAGCAGAAGCAGGGCGAGCACCGGGCTACCCAATCGAGGGAAAGACCGCCAAAGAGAGAGACAGAACAACAGAGGCAGAAAGCGGACGATAGTATAGGAGCCTGTTGACCTCGCCGCGACGAGATCAAGTGTAGTTCGAGCGCTCTTTATTTCCTTCCACACAGTTGTGTTCAGGGGCTGGATTTCACGCGAAGACCGTTACGCTGGAGTGTGAGGAAAAAACGTTACACGCGGGGGAAGGCCACAAAGGAAACACAACCGGCTCCTTCCACGCCAAACGATCCAGGACCAAATTCAACCCGCTCGGATTCAGCCGAAAAACGATTATATGTCATTGCTGATACAGAACTGCAGTCCTTTTTTTCAAGCTATTTTTGCAATTACTTCTTTTTTAGGACACTGAATTTTGCAGATCAGGCCCCAAAAGGTAAAAAACAAACGCAATAAAAAATGTATTTTTTAAACGAGTCTAAAATATACACCTTTTTTGGTATGTCAATATATTCTTCTAAATAATCTCGTGTGTTTTGTTACGCATTTCCGGGTGTTTTTAAAGGGGTACTCCGGGGATTCGGCGACCTTTACTAGTCAAAAGGCGAGAGTTACAAAAAGGCCTGGCGGTGCCCTGCTTGCAAACCGGGGAGGACAAAGGGGAGCCAGCCATTCAAACTTGATGTAGCAAGCTTGCTTGCGGATATGAACCGCAAAGTAGACAGCCTAATACCTCTAAAAGCGACCGTAGACAGCACTAAAAAAAAGATTCGAGAAGTCTTTGACAAGTACGATGACGTCCTAAAAGAACCAGGCTCAGCATGATAAAAAAATTGAAGAACGGAGTAAGCGTATGGAAGCTGTGGAAAAAGTGAGTGAGGCTAACGAAATCGACCGATTGAGGCAAAAAGTGGCAAAGCAGGAAGTTAAATCTGGAGGTTCACAGCATCGCTAGAACGGAAAACGAGAACTTGCTCGACAAGATAAATCAGGTAGCGTCCAGACTGCAACTTCCACCGCTATAGGAGAGTGATATCGTTGCCCTGCACAGATTAGAGTTTTAGTAATACGTATGTTAGCGCCGTCCTCGAAGACGACGAAGAGTGCCCCAAGAGCGCTCCACGATCCGCGTGACTTAGAGTTCTTTCCTCGGTAGCCATACCTGCCTGACGTATATTAAACGTCCTTTCCTAACCTTCTCTCGGCCGCTCCCGTCTTCAATGTCGAGACCGTAACATCTCAGAAGTGGGATAGCCAGTGACCACGGCCCACTTCGGATCGAATCCTGCGGCTACGACTTGACACAGCGGCGCCAAACGAAACCTCGACATGGCTGAACCGAACGAGGAAGGCCAGCGGCGCAGCGAGCGGAACCGGACCCGACAGACTGCGGCAGCGGGCCCTCCCCGACTTCCAGTCACCGTTACTACTGGAGCAGGGAGCACAGGCCTTGGCGGTAGCGATGGCGCGACCACGAGCCAAGGTAGTGTGGCAGCTGGAAATCCTGAACTCTCCAACACCGCTAATCAAGGACAAGGAACATCGGTGACGAGCCCATCCATCGTCCCTCCGGCAATTCAGACTGGATTGAATGTACCGACAGGCGACCTTCCTGGACTTAATTCTCTTGTACAGGAGGCCGTACAAGCCGCCGTGCGAGGAGCGATCACGGGCTTGGCTGACCTGCTACGTTCCACAGCTCAGCCCACGAATGACGCAAGACCACCGACAGACTCTGGTAAGCTGGTACCAGTGTTCAACCCCGTGACGAATCCAGCGCAGACCATCGAACATTGGATAAGAAAACTCGACGAACTCTCTGTGATATACTCATGGAACGAGCGACAGACGTCGTGTTTTGCGCTGACGAAACTGGAAGGAATCGCTAAAACATGGTACGACGGCCTCGTCAGTGTCCAGCGCTCGTGGCTTGAATGGAAGGCGGAGCTGAAGAAAGCTTTTCCACCCGTCGTATGCTTACAGCGCCGGCACCAAGAGATGGAAGCGAGACGGAAATTGGCAAACGAAACTGTCGAGCAGTACTTTCATGAAAAAGTCAGCCTAGCTCGACTCTGTCAACTTCCTGAAGATCAGATCGTGGATTATGTCATAACCGGCATCAATGACGAATCTCTCGTTCGAAGTCTCAGCGTTGTCAAATTCCCGACACCGGAGGCTCTGCTGGAATGTCTAAAATGTTTGGACGACCGACTCGCCGTCATTGAGGAAGCGTCCCACCGGTCAGATGTGGCGACCGTTTCAGCGACTGTCAAGACAGTTCCATCGAATCACCGATCCACCCAAAGAGTTGTTAAACGAAAACCGGCCTTCAACTCTAGCGGTGAGCCGCGCTGTTTTAACTGCGACGAATACGGACATATATCTGCAAACTGCAGTAAACCACAGAAGCGAGAACGCTGCAGCAAATGTCAACGGATAGGACATAAAACAGCGGACTGCAGAGCAAGCGCCAAAGGTAGTACGAACGTCAAAAGTCATCACATTGAAGATAAACAGGAAGTGAATGCACGAAACGAGAAGTACTTTCAAGATGCTCTGGTAGACGGGAAACCCATTCGAGCTTACGTTGACCTTGGCAGTCAGTGCGTTACGTTGCGCAAGATAGATGCCGACGATTTGGGAATCAGCTATAACGAGCCGTCCCGGGGATGCAAGATTGCGGGCTACGGTTCCGGTCAAGTTCTGCCGTGTGGAATGACGGAAGCAAGCGTCACAGTGGACCAAGCTACAGCCCGCGTTCCAATCTACATTGTTCCAAGTGAAGCGCAAGCGATTCCGCTTCTCGTTGGACAGCCATTTACTGAGCAACCACATGTCACGATCGTGCGAAGAAGGAACACACTTCGCAT